TATCCGAAGATTTCCCTAGAAACAAACTCATCTGAGTTCTGTTTGTTCATGTATATGTGCTATTTCTGTGTGTAGACCTATATCTTTTCTGTCATATAAATGCATTATATGTAATCATTACATATAAATGATAGACACACATACAGATGTGTCTTATTTCCAATCTGTATTCTATACAAAATCAAACACAGAGCTAAGAATGGCCCAGTTGGCAAAGTGCCTCCCATGCAAACATGGGGGACTGAATTTGGATCCCCAAAACCCACATAAAAGCTGAGCATGGCCGGGCGTGGTGGTGCATGCCTTTAATCCCAGCACTCGGGAGGCAGAGGCAGGTGGATCTCTGTGAGTTCAAGGCCAGCCTGGTCTACATAGTGAGTTCCAGGACAGCTGGGGCTACAGGGAGACCCTGTCTCAAAAAGACCAAAATAGCTGAGCATGGCAGTGCTCCCCCAGTGCTGAGATGAGGGACGAAGACAGGTGGATCCCTAGAGCATGCTGTCCAGCCGCTGTCACCAGTCAGCAAGCTCCAAGTTCATTAAGAGATTGTCTCAAAAATTAAGGTAGAGAGAGAGAGAGAGGAACACGCTGCTGACCTCCATCTCACATGCACACACCCACACAGACACAAACATCCCCCACAAACACCAAAAAAGAAACTTAAAAAAATTTTTATGTGTGTAAGTGTGTTGCCTACATGTATGTAAGTGTACCTGTGTCCTACAATGCCCACAGAGGTCAGAAGAGGGTATTGGATCCCCTGGAACTGGAGTTACAGATGGTTGTTAGCCTTCACGTGGGTGCTGGGAATGGAATTCGGGTCCTCTACAAGAGCAGCTACTGCCTTTAACCGCTGAGCCCCACAAAAAGAGACATTTTAAGAAACCTAGCAAGTAGTGTGGGATTGCTCAATGGGTTAGAGCTTGCCACCAAACCTGACGACCTGAGTTCATCTCCAGAACACACATGGTAGAAAGAACCGGCTCCTACGAGGTGTTCGCTGATATCTATATGCACACTTGGATGTGTGCATCCAGTCACACAAACACACAAACACACACACACACACACTAAATAGGAAAGATTACTTATTTTAAAATTGTAATACATAACAGGTATTCAGGCCTTAATAGATGGTTAATTGGTAAGATATTTGACTGGTTAATGGGCTATCTTATTTTTAGCCTCATGGCTGCAAGACTCAATTTGAATTAAAATTAGAATTCCTTGTTCTCACATACTGTCTTGTACTAACTACTAAGAGCAGCACAAAAAGTAACTTTTCAGGGGATTCAGGTAAAATGTGTGTGAGTTTTGTTGAGAAACGTCCAGGAAAATTAAATTCATTGTTGTAGTTCAGCTTCTTCACAGTCACTTTGTTTTGATTTCACCTTATTTTATTCTTATGATACTGTAGGGCCTAATGATTTGGAGGCAAGCACCCAACCATGGTGCTCTATTCCCGTCTCCTTCCTGTAACCTCTTTTTTTTTTTTTTTTTGTCTTGAACTCATAGAGATCCACTGGCCTCTGCCTCCTGAGTGCTGGGATTAGAGGCGCGCCATCACGCCCGGCTCTTTGTTCCATTTTTAAGAATCTAAGAGTGCTGGTATTAAAGGCGCGCCACCACGCCCGGCTGGAACCTCGTATTTTGAGATCTCAGTAAACTTCCCAGGTCAGTCTTGAACGTTTTCTGTAGCCTAAGCTGTAGACCTTGTGATCCCTCTATCTCTGCCTCTCATGTAGCTGGGATTACAGACCTGGCCATCAGGCCTGGCTTCCATATTAACATTGAATTTATAACTGATTTCAACTCTTTAGTGGCCATGAAACTTTCTTTCTTTCTTTTCTTTTTTTTTTCTTTAAAGACAGTCTCACTGTGTAGCCTGGAATGGCCTCTAACTTGAGATCTGCCTGCCCCAACCCCCCAAATTAGGTGATTTTATGTGTGTTCCATCATTCCTGGCCCCATAAAAATTTTTAATATGTCATTTTAAGTGGCCTTCTACAAATTCCTTGTAAAAAATTAATATAAAATAAATTCAAGGGGCTAGAGCGATGGCTCCATCAGCAAAGTGCCTGTCACAGGAGCATAAAGACCTGAGTTTGGAGCCCAACATCCACTAAAAAGCCAAGAATGGTGGTGCATGTCTGTAACCCTGGCTCAGGGCAGGGCAGGGACAGGGGCAGGTGAATCCCTGGAGCCAGCTGGCTACCAGTCTAGCCAGGCAGTGAGGTCTGGGTTCAGTAAGAAACCCTATCTCAGAAAATAAGGTAGCCAGGCTTGATGGCACGTGCCTTTAATCCCAGCACTCAGGAGGCAGAAGTAGGCTGATCTTTGTGAGTTTGAGGTCAGCCTGGTCTACATGACAAGTTCCAGGTCAGCTGTAACTGACTACATAGTGAGGCCCTTTCTCAAAAAAAAAAAGTAAGCTGGGGCTACAGGGAGACCCTGTCTCAAAACGACCCCCCCCAAAAAAAGGTGGGGAACAATAGAGGAGATACCCATTGTCAGCCTCTGACCTCATGTCCCCATACACATGCACATACACTTATACTACAGACACATACAAAAATGAAAATGAACAAAAGTTCAAGCTCGGTATGGTGACACATCTTAGCTATTCAAGATTTTAAGGCAAAAAGAGCTGAAGAAATGACTCAGGAGTTAACAGCACCAGCTGCTCTTGCAGAGGACCCGGGTTCGATTCCCAGCACCCACATGGCAGCTGACAACTGTCCATAACTCCTTTGTCTGCGTCCATGATACCTTCTGACCTCCACAGGCATTGCACAACATGGGTACACTGATGCACATGCTGGCAATACACTTACGCACATCAAAAATAAAAATAAGGGCTGGAGAGATGGCTCAGTGGTTAAGAACACTGACTGTTCTTGCAGAAGACCCAGGTTCAAATCCCAGCACCCACATGGCAGCTAACAACTGTCCTAACTCCAGTTCCAGGGGATCTGACAACGTCTTCCATCCTCCACAGGCATTGCATGACACCGGTATACTTACTACATGCAGGCACTACACTCATACACATAAAACTATAAATGTTTTTTTAAATAAATAAAAATAAATTTTTTTTAGGATTTTAAGGCAGGAATATAGCAAATTTGAGGTTTGCCTAGGCTACATAGTTCAAGTCCAACCTGGGCACCTTAGTGAAATCCCGTCTCAAAATTACTACAAGAGGAAAAAAAAGCCCAAGGTTGTCCTTGTGGTAGAATGCTGAGCATGAGTAAGACCCTAAGGTTAATCCTGAACAAAGGACCTTTAAAAAAAAAACTGAAGGGCTGGAGAGATGGCTCAGCGGTTAAGAGCCATGGCTGCTCTTGCAGAGGACCTGGGTTTGATTCCCAGCACCCACATGGCAGCTAACAACCATCTGTAACTCCAGTTCCAGGGGATCTGACACCCTCTTCTGAGGGTGCACAAGGGTTCACTTACATACATGCAAGCAATATACTCATACACATAAATTTAAAAAAAATTTTTTTAAAGTTAGACATGGTTGCACATACTTATAATCGTAACACTAGGATGGCAAAGAGGCCAATCCCCGGGGATTGTGGACAGGCCAGTGACAGACCCTCTTTCAATTTTTTTTTTTTGGTGGAAATTTTAAGAATCTTAATTGAGTTATTGAAATTATATTATACTTATAGGAAATACTCTAGGATTTTTCTGTTGGCGTTTTGTTTTGGGTTTTTTGAAAGGGTGAGTTGGTACTGAGGCTCAAACCCAGGGCCTGTGCACACTGAGCACGTGCTCAAGCTCTGAACTACACCCTGAGCCCAGAGAAATGAGAATGAACACTAGACTTCACTGACAGACATTTATTCCATGGTGACTTCAGGGACTATGTATAAAACACTTCAGAGTGTTTTATTTCATCTTGCAGGAAGCGTCTCAGTTCTCCCTACTATATTATATCTCACAATTGGGGTCCTCAGAGAAACTGCTGTGAAGTTACCTGGGGGCCAGTTATCCTCAACAGTCACAGCCTCCCTGCAAGCTCTGAAAGGAATCTTATCTTCCCCAATGGCCCGAGCAGAAAAGAGCCATGCCGCTTGGACAGGCCTCCTCCACCGCGCCTTAGCAACGGTGCTTGACTGTTGGAACCCAGGTCAGTAAGACCATTTGGAGGTACTTGGTTATTGTTTAAGAGTGAGAGGTGTGGGTCTTTGAGGATAAAATCTTCACTTGATCATATTTGGCAGTCTCCCCTAGAGGAGACTGTTTTATGTATCCAGAAGGTATGTGTGTGTTTGGGGACCTTTAATCTTTAATGGAACTAAGTGGCAGGGAGCCTGTATGCTGACAGTGAGTTACCTTCAGGATTGATGGTGTGTTTATTTGAAAGTGCAGTGTGATAGATGCCTAGCTGACAGGGCTTAGTATACAGTGTCCTGAAATGTGCATAAGCCATGCATTAAAAATACCATCAGTCAAGTTCATCACTCCATTGTTTGTAGCCCAAGAGACTAGCCAAGCTACCCCATTTCCCCCAGTTTTCTCATAAACACATATGGATACTATCCTGAAGGAAATTTTAGAGCTGTACCATAATGTATGAAAAGCCTCTTGCTGCAGTGCATGGTGGGGCAAGCCTTTAAATCATAGCATTCAGGAAGCTAAAGCAGGAGGGTTAAGAGTCCAAGACCAATCTTGGCTTCATAGTGAGACCCTGTCTCAACACAACAAAAATCTCATTTATTACTTGGCATATATTAACAAATGATAGTATTTTTAAAAATATTTTATTATGTGTAGGAGTGTATTGCCTGCATGTATGTGAGTACACCCATGTCGTGCAATGCTGCAGAGGTCAGAAGAGGGCTTTGAATTCCCCTGGAACTGGAGTTAAGGACGGTTTATAGCCGCCATGTGGGTGCTGAGAATCGAACCCAGGTCCTCTGCAAGAGCAGTCAGTGCTCTTAACCTCTGAGCCATCTCTCCAGCCCAATAGTATTATTTTTAATATGTATTAAAATTTGTCATATGATGTGGTTTTTGTTCTCAGTAGTATGTTACACTGATTGTAAGGTCTTTAGATCCACATTGTACATTGTCCTGGCCTTCTTTTTTTTTTTGGTCTTTTTGAGACAAGGTCTCCCTGTAGCCCCAGCTGTCTTGGAACTCACTATGTAGACCAGGCTGGCCTTGAACTCACAGAGATCCAACTGCCTCTGCCTCCCGAGAG